CAATGCAAGAACAGAATCCCCAAGTTCTGGCTCTCTGCCTCTTTCTTTTTGCCTTTTCTTCATCAGAAACTCTCTGTTTCTGAAACAGAAACTTTCTGTTGTTTTTTTCTTTCTCCGTCACTTTCTTGGTCTCTTTCTGCCTCTCTCCTTCCTTTTCTGTATCAAAGCTACCATGTACAGTTGTGTAGTACGTTCACTGCGCTAGGGAATCTGCCTTCGGGTGTGGAGTGGAGGCTGATGCCAGCCACGATCCACACACTGAGCCCTCACGTCTTAGCATGGTGCCAAGGTTGCCTCGCCCTGTAGCTCTCTTGTTTTTCAGGATCTCCCCCACGTCTGTCTGTTCTCTGTACCCTTTCCTGACCTCTCTTTGCCTTGGAGACAGGATGGCTTGGTTCTTCCCACTCAGCAGAGAGATCCGAGTCCGAAGACTTCCATCCCCTCCCCACGCAGGGATGCCCTCTGACCCAGCTCTGCCAGCAGCCTAGACTGCTCTGCTCCACGTGCCACTCAGAACACCCGTGTGCACACTTGTACACATGCACAAAGCCCCTCCTACATCCAGCCAAGCCAGGCCTCCGGCACGCCAGGCATGTCTGCCGGATGGAGGGACAGGAAGCCTGCACACTCCTCGTGCTCCAAAGGCTGGGCGGGAAGGGAGCAGGGGTGAGGGGCCGCTCTTGTGTTCTCTGTGGCTCAGGAAACAGAAGCTAGAGGGTCCTCAGCCCGACCTGTTTACTCATCAGGAAATAGAGAAACTGCAGGAGTTCTGATTCACCAAACATTCACCACATGCCTGCTGGAGGCTGGAGCCAGTCCAGACCCTCACCATCACCCATAGGTGTAGTGACTGTCACCCCCGGGTCACAGAAGAGACCAGGGAGGTTCTCTGGTAGAAGACTTGCCCAAGGGCCAATGGATCAGCTCAGCAGAGGTGCCAGCAGGATTCGAATCTGCTTTAAAGAACAAAGCAGTGGAGGGGGGGAGGTGACCTCTGGGGTGACCCAGACCAGGGAGTCGCTCCCCCTGCTCATCGCCACCCCCAGATAACCCCAGAAAGTGCACCTCCGCTCTGGCCACCGCCTCTCTCTAACGCCTCTGTGGCTCCCCAGCACCCTGGGAAAGGGCGCCCAGGGCCCAGGTGGCCAGCCCCTGCCCCTGGGCTCCCATCACACTGGACGTGTCTCTCACCACACAGCCGCCTATGCCCAGGCCGCCTCTGGAACATCCAGGTCCTTCCCCTCCTTCCAGGCCAGCCTCCTTCAGGAAGGCCCCCCAGCGACTCCACACTTCCCCCGTTCCTCCCTTTCCTGGGACCTTCCTCCAGGCTCTTAGCACATTCACCACTGTGGCCCACCGGAGCCCTGGGTTGCTCCCCAATTCTTCCCTGAGGCCAGCTTCAAGCTGGACATGGACAAGTCCCCAGGGGCCCAGCACTCCTCAAACTCCAGCCAGGGAGACCTGTGTCCTTCCTCTGGGGCCAGGTGGGACTGACTTAGGTCAAGCCAGGAGTTCACAGTCTCCGGAACCCCTGCAGTCTGATGACCTGATGAGGTAATGGGGACCCCAGCCTGTGGCTGCCAGCTTGTGAGTGAGGCTGGCTTTCCCGCCAGACTGGGACAGCCTCTAATTCCATTTTTGTCTGAGGCTCTAAGGGTGGCCGGGCTGCCCCCCCAAATGTTCCCTCATGGCTCCCATCCCGTGGTCATTATATTCTTATTAAAGGCTGTCTTCCCCACTGGAATGGAGCTCCGTAGGGTCAGGGCACTTCTCTGCCTGCCTCAGCATCAAGTCCCCAGCTCTGGCCAGCACCTACAGGCACACATCCAGGGTGTGTGGCACCCAGTGGGCGGTAACTGAATGTTGTGTGGAGTGGATGGACTGATAAACTCTAAATCCTTTTTGACTTGGGTAAGCCTGACCTTACTTGGTGGGAAATGGGGGAGAAGGAGAGGCTGCTGCTTGCTCCTGGCTCACCAGACACCAGGGCCTCCCTTCCAGCGCCTTTAAGACCCAACATTGGTAAGTTGATGGAAGGTGGAGTTCAGAAAGAACTTCCCAACATTACAAAGTGAAGGGCAGCTCCAGACCTGCCCTCCTGAAGGCAGCGGGCAGGAATTCCTCAGGGCTGGCCTCCAAGTTCCTCTGGGATGAGGGCATGGGAGTGCAGGGCACTGAGTCACCTGGAGAGGAGGGGTGTGCCCTTCTCCTGCACTTCCCCTCAGGGACGACGCCCACCCCGCGCTGTCTATCCACACACCTCCTTCTGCACAGAGCAGGGCTCAGAGCTGCTCTGTGCGGGCCGGCCGGGAGGCCCAGGCGGGAGAGGAACTCAGAAGGCTCCATGGCCCAGCGCCCACCTGTGTGCTAGAGCCCTCGATCTTGCCATGTGTGGGTGCTGTGACACCAGCGACCACCCCTATACGGTGAGCTGGGTCCTTTCTGTTCATTCGCTCAGTAACCCTAGAAGGAAGGTGCTATTATACTGCCTGTTTTGTAGATGAAGTAATCCCACTTTCACTGTCCAGGGACCAGGTTCAATCCCTCGTTGGGGAGCTAAGGTCCCACAAGCCACGCCATCCCCCAAGAAACAAATCCCAAAGAGGGTAAGTAATTTTCCCAAGGGCACACAGCCAGTCAAGGGCAAGGTGGGTACGTGGACCAGGTCCATCAAGCGCCGAAGACAAGGCTGCCCCTTGTAGGTCCTTCTTTCCCTGTGATTTCTCTTTGGTCTTTGGACTCTGTCTCCCCTCTGTTTCTACCTTCTCTACCTCCTTCTTGTTCTTTTTCTCAGTCTCTGCTCTGTTTTTCCAAATATGCTGTGTTTTTCCAAATATTTCTGCCCGTGTTTTTTTCATCTGTTGGTCTCTGCTTCCACATTTCTGATTCTCTTTATCTCTGTCTTTGTCTTTCTCTCTCTCCTTCCCCGTCTCCTCTTGCTCCTCTCTTGCTAGCTTCTCTCTGACAGGTTAGGTGACTGGACTGATACCAACACCATCCCCAGAGCTAAGATGGGCCCCAGGGCCCCTCATGCACCCCGGGAAGGGACTTCTTCAAGGCTACTCAAAGTAGAAGTTCAGAGCACTGTGGTGGAGGACTCTCTCTAGCGACGTGTGTTGGTGGCAGGGAGGCAGACAGCAGCCCAGCAACCAGGTTTCCGAACCGTGGACGGGGTTGCCTGGAGAGCTAGTTTCCTCTTCTGGGAAAGTCTGATAGGGAATGGAAGGGGGGGCAGTGGGTAGTGGAGAAACAGATGCCAACCCTCAGCTTCACCTCCTGGTGAAGACAGGAAGACAGAGGGGAGCCTGGCCAAACCAGCTCCTAGGTGGCAGGGAGGGTAGCCCCAACTGCATTGGCAAGTTTGCTGGGTAGGCTATAGGAAACCACAAAAACGGGAGAGACAGCAGCAGGGGACAGATGGCTAGAGAGAGGAAAGCAGTCCCACACCCTGGCCCCCATGTGCCCACCCCAGGGACTATCGCATGGATTGGGGTGGAGTGGGATTCAGACAGCTCCCTGACCCCCCAGGCCCAGCTTAAAGCCAGGGTTGAGAGCTGACCCCTTGCCCAATCCTGCCTGGAACCGAGGTCTGGCTGAGCCTGGGAGCCTGGGAAACTCGGGCCAGCACAAGCTGTTCCCATCCCCGGGGACTAGGGTCATAGCCCAGTCTCGGGAAAGGCCACTCATAAAAGGCCAGAGAAGGACAGCTAAAAGTTCCCTACTGGAGGCTGGAGATGCGGCCCCCTCTGGGACCCCCCCACACTCCTCCCCCTCACACACACCAGCCCACAGGGCTTTCTGAGGATCCACATGCCTGAGATCTTTGGCCAACTCCCTACTCCCCAAACCAGCAAAGCTATGAGCCCCAGGGACCTGCAAGCCTGGGTCCCTTCCCTCCATACTCCTCAAACATTTCTCCTGGTGGGGAGAGGAGGGACCCTGTAATAAACACGGAGCAGGCACAGGTCTAAGCAGGAGACATGTTTTTGCTCTCTAAACCTCACAACAATCCCATAAGGCAGGCACTGTATCTTATCATTCCCCTTTTAGAAATGAGAAACCAAGACACAGGTCCTACAGCTAATAAGGGGACAAGTCGAGATTCCAACTTGGGCATCCTTGACACCAACGTGGGTGCTCTTAACACTAGGCATCCTTCAGCCAAGAAGAGGGCCTGGTAACGGCTTCTCTCTGCAGCCCTCAGAGGGGGCCAGTGGGGTGGTGCCTGCCCCTGGACGCACCAAGTCCCATACAAGGGGCTTGGAAGCGGTCTCATTTGCATGTAATTTACATGCAATTTTATAATGAATGGCAACCCCCAACCCCCTTTGGCCCATCTCCACTGCCCATCCCCTTCAGGTCTCTCTTCCCCCCCCCCCCCCACATTCCACCCAGAGGTCCCCCAGGGCAGAGTGGTCGCGGGACCAGGGCGGCGCCATCACTCACCTGCCTCGCGACCTTATTTCTCCGTTTGCCTGGGATGGGGAACGCCCGGGTGGGCCCAGAGGAGGACAGGGCAGGGGTCCCTGCGTGGAGCCCTAGCCCGACTGCGGGAGCGGCGGGGAGGCCGAACGTTGTGGATGGCTGGGCTGGGAGGGGCGCAGAGGGGCGGGGGGCAGGAAGGGGGTGGGAACTCGGGCCCTCGCCAAGGCAGGAAGTTTTGACAAGGAAACCAGGAGCCGGGGGAGGGGAGATCCAGAGTGCCCAGGGAGGGAGGCTGTGTAGGGGTGGGACCTCGAAGGCCAAGCGGCGGCGGGGCCGACCTGGCAGCCTGGACCGGGTGCAGAGAGGGGACGAGCACGGGACAAGAGCAGGGGTCCCGGCCCGAGTCCCTCCTCGGCTCCTCACCAGCTGTGCGGCCAGGGGGTACTCTGCCTCTCGGGCCTCAGCTTTCCCGTCTGTAAAGTGGGGTGGCGGAGGGAAATTAATGAGATCGTCCACGTCGGGCACCTTCCCAGTGCGGCCCAACAACTATCTTATTAGAGGCACGACCCGGGGATCTACCGGCGCATCCCAGACTGGGAGAGCCGCGACAGGAAAATGTCTCTCCTCTTCTCCGGCCTGAGGAGGGTGTGATCCTGGAAGCAGAGTTCCGCGGAGTCTCCGCCTCTGCCCGCCCCCTCGGTCCAGAGCCCCGGCGCTCCGGTGCACCGCGCGCGGCGGACTCTGCGCAGACCCGGCACGAGCCGGGCGCCACCTGGCGGCCAGCGCCCGCCTCCGCACAGCCCACGACTCCCGACCTGGGAGAAGTGCATCGCAGCCGAGGTGGACAACCTGAATCTCACCCTTCTTAGGGCAATTTTCCCTTCTCAGAGGACAGAGGCAATTTTCGCTAACAAATAATATTTGTTTTCAACGTCGCTAGATCTTTAGGTATTGGTTCATTTAATCCTTAACTCGAGATTGGTTCTATTTACATGATGATGTTCATGTAATTAGGACACCAGCAAGTGGAAAAAACAGGGTTTGAACTAAGTTCTTTGGTTCGTCTGATTACAGGGCTCTCTCTACAAACCCCGCCGGGGACAGAAAAAGGTACAATAGTTCAGGAAAAGCAAGACAAGTACATTCCTCTTTGGCAACTTCAACTTTATTGAGGTAATATAACTGATACAATTTTTCAAAATACCCACTTAAAAGTGTTCAATGAAGTTCTTTTACATTTTTATGGTGGTAAAATATGTGTAATATAAATTTTATCATTTTAACCATTTTTAAGTGTTCAGTTCAGTGGCATAACCGTTCATTCATATTGTTCAACCATCACCACCAGCCACTTCCATACTTTTTTCATCATCCCAAATTGAAACTGTATACCCATGTAACTATAACTCCTCATTCCTCCTCCCCAGCCCCTCTGTTCTACTTTCAGCTTCCATGAATTTGATTCAGTACTTCATATAAGTGGAATCATACATTATTTGTCCCTACAATATGTATCTGGCTTGTTCACTTAGTTCAGTGTCTTAGTTTGAAGCTGTTTTGTTTTGGGGTTTTTTATTTGTTTTGTTTTGTTTTGGCATGCCATGGGGCTTGTGGCATCTTAGTTCCCTGACCAGGAATTGAGCCCAGGCCATTGGCCGGGGCTGTGAAAGCACTGAATCCTAACCATCAGGACTTTCCCAGGGGAGTTCCCCAAGTTTGATTAGTTTTGAGAAACGTGTCATCTGTCAAAAACTTAAAAAAAAAAAAAAACATTTTCCTCTTTCCAAATCTTCCCTTGTGCTCCTTTGCAGATAATGTTCCACCTGCTATTCCATCCTCACTCCCCAAAGCCAGCCCTATGAAATTTCTAATCTGCTGTCACTGTAGATTTTTTGTTCTAGAATTTCCTATTAATGGACTTACACAATATGTACTCATTCATGTCTGGCTTCTTTCATTTACCATAAATCTTTTGTTCCTTGCTTACCACTGAGTGATATTCCATTGTACAGATATATCACAATTTGTGTCTACACCAGTTGATAGGCATTGAGTTTTTTATCTCCAGTTTTAGGCTATTATGAATAAAGCTACTATGAACAATCATACACAAGTCTTGTGTGAACATGTTTTCATTTATTTCTGTAACTATTTAGAAGTGGGATTGCTGGGTTGTAACAATTATGAATACTTCATGTATTCTGGTTTCAAGCCCTTTGTCAAAAATATGTATTGAGAATACTCTCTATTTGAGAGAAAAGCTAGTGTTCTTTAGTTTGGTGCTTCGAGTGATGGGAGGTGAAGGGAAGGCTCGGATTGGACCTTGCTGCTCACTTTGGGGAAAGAAGGCAAGGTTGGATGTTGCCTCTCCTGACTCCAGTGTTACCAAAAGTCTCCAACAGGGGACAGCAGAAACCAGAGGACAGAGCCTGGGTCCGGAGGCCAAAGACCATAGAGTGGCAGTATGTCCGAGGCTAGAGGGGCTTTGAAGGTCACTTGATGGATCACTTTCATGGGGTAAATGGGGAGACCGAAGGCTAGAGAGGAAGAATGTGGGCTCCTCCCTCCTTGACCTGGCTCTCTTGTGTGGTGACCCAAGGATGAAAGAGCTGATAACCAAGGAGGGTCTTGGAATACAGAAATGGAAAAACCAGACCCTTATCATCTTTCCCTCCCCTATGCTGTAACTACTAATGGAACAATATAACCTGTCTCCCCTCCTACCCTATAGGGAGGAGGTATTTGCCTTACTCTTCCCCCCACCCAGTGTACGTGCCTCATCTAATCAGCAAGTGACACGCCAGACCCCACTCCTTGTACCCTGGGTATAAAAGTGGATTAAGGGTCCCCATTCATTGTCGGTTCTCCCTTGAGCTGGCCCGCTGTTCTAACAGCGTCTCCCACCCTAATAAATTTTATCTCCCTCTCATTCTGTCTCATGTCTGGAAAATTCTTTTCCAACATGCACGCAGACCATGACAACTTGTTCTCATCTTTTCACATTCAGCTTGACTGTCCTTTCTCTGGGAGACTTTCCAGCTTCTCCGCATCCCACTCCTGTATATGAAAGCTTAACTTGCATCTCTTTTGCTAAACGCTTAGTTCTTCAAGTACTGGGCCCAGGTTGATACCATCTTTGGGATCTCAGGGCCTGGTACAAGCGAAGTACTCAGTAAACTTTGAGTGAATGGCTGCCACCCTGTGTAACGATCTTCCAAGTCTCTGCACCAACTCTGCCTCCTGGGCCCAGCCCTGTAGCTAGAAGGATAGTTCCCCTGTTGCCTCCCTGGAAGGTACAAGGGAGTCTACCTTTACCCTTTTGATCAATAGCACCAGTTTTGTGTTTACCTGTTGTTGGGCTGCATCCCACAGGCCTGCAAGCCCTGTAATTTCCCAGCCTCAAGACCAAAGAGCGAGCCCAGAGTTATTGATAAAGACATCAGTGGTTTAATAGATGGGGAATCTTACACATCTGAAGCAAGGTCCTGGAGCCACTGGGGAGGTGGGGGTGGTGTCAGTTATAGAGGAACTGACATCAGGTTGGTTCATGGGTTAGCAGGGTAGCCAGCAGAGGGGCTCCCCCTTTTGATAAACTACCACAGTGAAGACAGTTCTGACCTAAAGATTAGAACAAACACTAGCTGGGGCCAGGGATGAGTATGTAGCCATTTACTGATTAGGCTCTATGATTAAGAGGGAAGGTCAGTCATAGCAGCAGGATGTAGGTGAAGCAGGGACTGGTCAAACAGGGGATGTACAGAGAGCAAGAGAATAGCCATCTTGGGCGGCCTGGTACTGGTGTCCAGTGCCCAGAATACAGAGGAAATGACATCATGATGGTGCTGAAGGCAACTACTAACTTTTATTAAACAAATCCTACTGATTACTAGGCACACTTAAAAGACCTTTTCATTTAATAACTTATTAAGAGGAGAAAAGTTTCTCCCCTCAGAGAGCTCACATGCTAATCCAGGAGTTAATTATTCCTTCATTCATTCATGAATAAAGATTAGGTGAGCACTTATTATGCACAGGCATAGGGTCTAGAGAAATGAACAAGACAGGCAAAAACCTCTGCCTAAATATGAAAGGCAATAAAATGAAGCTTTCATTCTAGTAGCAGTGCCAGTGAGGAGCTGATAAACAAAATCAGTAAAATCATGATGCATCAGATGACAATAAGTGTTATTACAAACAATAAAGAAAAACAAAACAGGAAGAGTGATAGGGAGTACTGGGGGTACAGCTTTTGGAAAGGTGGTCAGCAAAGTCCTCACTGAAAAGGTATCCTCCAGATGAAACCCTAAATGAGGTGAGGGAGGGAGCCACACAGATTTCTGGGGTAAGGGTATGCCAGACAGGGGAAGAGCATGTGCAAAGGCCCTGGGGCCAGAGCTCTGTTCACGGACTAGCTAGGAGACTGGAACCTAGGGAGCAGCAGGGAGCCTGCTGGGAGTTGTTGAGGACAGAGGAGACTGGAGGTCAAATCTGCAGGGCCTTGTAGGTTGTAGTAAGGCTGTTAGTTTTTCTCTGTGTAAGACAGAGGTTATGAGACAGGAAGGACATGATTCAACTCAGACTTTTGTGTTAAAAAAAAAAAGCTGTAAGGGGCATGGTTGGCGGCAGGGAAACGGGAGGAGGCCCTGGCGCTGATCCAGGGAGCAGTGTGATGGCATGGATGGGCAGAGGTGCCAAGGAGTGTGTGAGCTCAGAGCACAGTAGCAAGTGCTAAGAGAGGGCACGGGTGCCTCTTCCCTCCAGGATGGGCAGGGATTGCTGAAGCATTCCAGAGGCCTTAAAAGAGATGGAAAGGGCTGGAGAGGGCTCCTTGATCCAGCTTGGAAAGAGGGGCTGAGAGCTGACTCTGGGTTGGTCCCACGGTCACCTGGACCTACAACTCACCTCAGGCCACTCCCTGTCTCAGCCACAGCCACACAGAGGTGCTCCAGTACACACAGACACAGGGAAGGAAGGGGCCTGCGGTTCTGCCCCAAACACAGCCCATGGGAGTGGAAGGATCTGTGAAATCCTCTCGGGAAAACCCAAAAGGAGAAAATACAGCAGGCTCTTGCTGCTCTCCCTGCTTCTCCAACCAAGCTCGTCCTAAACGGTTGGCAGTGACGCTGAGGACAGCAGTGAGGACGCCCCACTTACAGGGCATGTGCCTGGCTGACACTTTCCCTCTCCTTTCTGGATGTCAGTGGAGGGGACGCTGAAATACAAGCCATGGCACACACACCCCACCCATTGCCTGCCTTCCGGCCTGAACTTCCCTCCTTATTTCAGGCTCCCATGTTCCTCCCTGGGTAGTCTCTGACTTGAATCTGCCCAAAATCCCCCACCCCTATATTCCTCCTCCCAGCCCTGCCTACAGCCTGCCCGCCAGGCTGCCTGGCACTCAAGCTCCGTCCTTCCTCCCTCCACTCTAGCTGTAATCACAGCTCAGCCCAGACCGCCCCCCCTCCTGTGAATAATTGGGGCTGATTTAGGGGCTATCAGGGGAGAGGGGGGGGCTAATGGAGTTCGTGGGGGGCCGCCCTGGTGATGAGGGGAAGGTTGAGAGGCAATTAGCAGGGCTGACAGCCTCGGGAATCACCTAACGTGCACGCCTGCCCGCAATAAGGGCTAGTGGAGGGGTGGGGGCGGGAGCCTGCTCCACCCCCACATCCAGGGGTGGACTTGGACTTGAGAAGGGAGCTGGGCCCTCCATCAGCAGGAGGTTGGAGGACAGACAGCAGAAGGAACTTCCAGAAAAACAAGAGCAAGGGAGGTGGGGGGTCACTATGGGGAGGGAGGGAGGCTGATGGGATGAGCCAGGAGCTCCTGGTCT